CGTAACGATGATAGAAACAAATAAAGGAAAAAAGAAGTATTTCAAAAATTTTTATTTAGAAACGGCCTATGTAGGTCATATGGAAACGTTAAAAGACATCGAACGATTATGATATTTTGCTATGATATTTTGTTAAGAGAAAGGGAGATGAAGAAAAAAGTGATAGCTAGCGACGAAGGTTGACGCAAGAGAAATGAAAAAAAAAAAAAAGAAAAGAAAAGAAAAAGAAAAAGAAAGAGAAAAAGAAAAAGAAAAAGAAAAAGAGAAGGAAGAAAGGATCGGTGAGAGGATGAGATAGAAGAGGAGAGGAGGGACGCTACTATGTGTCCAGGGAGCGCAACTAATATTAATAACGTGGCAAAGTTAAAAATGTTTACTGTGTATTACGGCTGATATGAGGGCCACGAGCGTGGCAGCAGGGTCCCTCGTGATTGATCGCGCGTCTCTACGTCTCTCCCTCTGACATGGGGTGTTCCTATGGATATTACCTTGGCACGGCCCTGCACGCCGCCATCTACCCGGCTCGTCTACTGCCGAGCCAGACACCATACCGATCTGTCCTATCCTCTTCGAATCAAATCTGCTTTTTCGATTCCCCTCTTCTCTCTCTCTCTCTCTCTCTCTCTCTCTCTTTCTCTCTCTCTCTTTCTCTCTCTCTCTCTCTTTGTCTTTTTTCTGTTCGGCTTCGTGTAGTGCCTCGAAGAATGCGTTACACCGTCGCTTGTCCTCCCTATCGTTGACATGTTGTGTGTCCGGTATTAAATCTGTCCGACTCGAAGTTATTTGAAACTTACAAGATGATCGTACGCGTATGTACGAACCGATTGGATCTAACGATAGAACATCGAGCTGCTACGTGTATCTCGCAAAATCGTTTGGTAAGATAGATATTACCTTTGGTGAATTTTTCTTTTGTTATTATTCAAACAAAATTTCTCTACAAATTTTACATGTCCAGAAGTACATTTATTATTATGAATATATTGTAACGATAAAAAAAAAATTTCGATTATTCAACAATACGACGAAACATGATTTTCAAATAAATGCAATTTCATTTAAAAATTATACTCGCTCGAAACGAATATGTTTTTTATTTTTTCTTTTTTTTTTTTCTTTTCCTTTTTTGTTATACGACACTGATCGATGATAAATTTTCTATTTTCAGGCATTTCCCATGGTAACAAATGGCACGAACAAGTTCAATGATTCTTGAACGTGTTACTTCGGATTACTAGCACAAGGCGCAACGGCTCGTAGTCGTCAGAATCATTTAACGAAACTCACATGCCAGTGACAGGAAGAAAAAGATAGAGGAGAGAAGGAGAAACAAATCCGGTTGGCGATGTTTAACCAGATCTTTGGTGCACGAAACGACAAACAACGGAATCCTACTGGCAATGTTCGTGTTCAAGCGCAACGAAGATACTACTTGGATAAAATTAAAGCTGACGTTCGTGCGACCACTATCACGATTCGATCATATCGTAAAATGATTCCGTTACTATGGTTTCGAAAAGTTATCTTAGTTTATCTTAAAGAAGAATATATTGCCAATAAATTATATAGATATATTTAAGAAATTATTTAAATGATTTACCATTAAGTAAATTCTTTTAATTTTAATATTGATCAAAAATTTACTAAAAACATGATCAAAGATAAATTGTACGAACAAGAATTACTCGGATTAGGAAAGAATGAACTTTCTAAAACCAACGTTACACCGCTCTCAATTAATTATATTTCAGGATTTTCTTAACCACCGATCGAATAGTCCCAGTTTCTCTTTTTTATCTATTATGCACTGAGGAAAGTCTTTTACATAGTTTTACATATCACGGAAGTACGTAACTTTCAAGATTTTTATCCCGATTTCACGGGTCTGCCCGTGAACACTTGTTATTTTTCTTATTCGCACCTCCATAGGTAATAAAACTGATTTAAACTCGTGCTGAATATCAGTTTATCTTCTTGAACAGGTACTTGCAATAAAAAGTACTTTGCGAGTTGTATGAAATACTCGATGAGAATGCTAATAGAAAATAATAAGTTCAAGTTGAAAAACAAAACAAAAAAAAAAAAAAACAAAAAGAAAGGAAAAGAAAAAAAGAGAAATGAGTCGCTTCCTTTTCGTTCATTTAAATCTAATAATCATAAATTAAAGATTTATAAAATCTTTCCCTATGTTACCAGAAAATGATAAAAGAATTTTACGTTGTAATATTATTCCGCATATAAATGATCGCGATACTTGTAAGGGATGATAGGTGAAATTTCTCAAAAGTGTCCAACGTAAGCAGATCCAACAAAAATTTGGATCTCAACGAGAGGCCATAAGATCCTTGTAAAGCAACGTTATCCGCTTATATGAATCGTGCGAGGCACGCAACAAGCAATAGCAAAGTAGATTTATGAAGTAATCATTAAGGAGCCACGTATCATCCCACGCGTGTTTGTTCCAACGCCGAACGTCTGTATCTTATCGTTGATAATGTTA